AAGTATTTCTAGCTTCAAGACTTATTCAAGACAAATTATTCATACAGTGTAAGAAAAACAAGACAAAGTGATCTCTCAAGGTCCTTCCAGCTTTAACAGTCTGGGTATAACCATAGTCAATTCAGTCATGTATTCAGTTAAACTGATTGAGTAGAAGGTGGTGGCATAGAGGCAATGAACTCTCCAAACATCCCCCTCCAAACAACTTTAAAATAATGCCTAAAATTGAATTCTGGAGCAGCAGAGGCAACAAAAGGTTGGGGTGAAACAATTTTCCAGCCCAAGACAACTTATGAGGTCTGCAGGAAAGGTCTGTCACACCATGGTGGTAATCAAGCCCAAAGCGCAGCACAATCTGCGCCTTGGCAACACTAGCAGCAGGCCTTGGGGGCAGCTGCAACATCAGCAGCAGCAGTTTGGGGGCTCTCAGCCCACAGTCAGAAAGATAGTCAGACAATTGGTCAGAAAGAGATTTCAGGGGACCCTTTGTTGGCCCTGGGTTTTGGATCCTGTTGTATTGTCCATATGCAGTCCTGGGTCACAGTTTCAGGGCGAAAAGGAGCACTAGTACTTGCAGCCACAGGGGTACAGAGGCCCTGGGCACAGTTCCAAGGCAGAAAGGAGCATTAATGATTGAGGCTGTAGGACAGCAGGGGACCTGGTCACAGTTCCAGGGCCAAGAGGAGCACTAGCATTTGTGGCTACTGGGGAACAAGGTATCTTCCTGCATAAAGACCTGAGCACAGGCTAGGAGAGCAATGACTACATCTCTCCTTAGATCGTACCACCTTGGAAGCACCAGAAACTCACAGACTCCACAACTAGCTCTGAAAAGAGAAGCATGAAAAACCTAAAGCTTGGAACAGTTTCCCCTACACCCCAGAAGAAGACCCTAACTGTAATATAGATAAAGAAGGAGTCCTACCAAATTCATTTTATGACACAAATATGGTGCTGATATCTAAACTAGGAAGAGCAAAAACAGAGAAAGCAGACTACAGATCAATTTCTATAATGAACATTAATACACAATTTTTAAATAAAATACTAGCAAGGAGATTACAGCAATATATCACAAAGATTATAAGTTATGATCAGGTAGATTTATATGAGGAATGCAGGGCTGGTTCAGTATTAGGAAAACTATAAGCATAATTGACCATATCAATAACAAAAGCAACCAAAATCATGTGGTTATCTCAATAGATACAGTAAAAGCCTTTGACAGAATACAATAATCACTCCTATTAAAAACTTTGGAAAGCATAGGAATAAAAGGAACTTTCCTTAAAGTGATAAGTAATATCTATCTAAAACTACCAGTAAGCATTATTTGTAATGGGGATAATAGTCTAGAAACCTTCCCAATAAGATCAGGGGTGAAGCAAGGATGCCTGTTATCGCCATTATTCAATATCATACTAGAAATGCTAACTATAGCATTAAGATAAGAAAAAAGAAATTAATAGAATTAGAATAGGCAATGAGGAAACAAAACTACCACTGTTTGCAGAAAATATGATATCCTTAGAGAATCCTAGAGAATTAACTAAAAAATAATTGAAATAATTAACAACTTCAGCAAAGTTGCAGGAAATAAAATAAACCCACACAAACCATCAGCATTTCTATATAGTATCAACAAAGCCCAGCAGCAAGAGAGAGAAATTCCATTTAAAGTAACTATAGACAGTATATAAAATATTTGAGAGTCTACTTACCAAGACACACCCAGGAACTATATGAACACAATTAGAAACCACTTCATACAAATAAAGTCAGATCTAAACAATTGGAGAAATATTAATTTCTTATGCATAGGCCAAGCCAATATAATAAAAATTCTACCTAAATTAAATTACTTATTCAGTACTATACTAGTCTTAACTTCCAAAACATTATTTTATAGAACTAGGAAAAATAATTCATATGGAAGAACAAAAGAAGAAAATCAAAAGATTAATGAAATCAATGAAAATCAAGAAAATTAAAGAGATGAATTTAAAAAAAGTGTGAAGGAAGGTGGTTTAGCAGTACCAGATCTAAACTGTATTACAAAGTAGTAATCATCAAAACAATCTGGTACAGGGCAAAAAATAGAGTGGTGGATCAGTGCAATAGATTAGGTATATAATACACAGTTGTAAATGACCATAGGAAACTAATGTTTGATAAATGCAAAGATCCCAGCTTTGGGGGCTAGAACTCAGTATTTGGCAATTGCTAGGAAAATTGGAAAGCAGTTTGGCAGAAACAAAGTCTAGAGCAACTTGTTACACCATATACCAAGACAAAGCCAAAATGGGTACATGATTTAGACTTAAAATGTGATATCATAAAGCAAATTAGGGGAGCATGAAGAATTTTACCTCTCAGATATATGGAAAAGGAAAGAATTTATAACCAAAGAAGAGATAGAGAGAATTATAAAATACAAACTGGATAATTTTCACAAACAAAATCAGTGAAGCCAAAAATAGAAAGAAAGCAGGAAACTGGGAAAAATTTTTACAGCAAATTTCTCTGTTAAAGACCTCATATTTTAAATATATAGGGAAGTGAGTAAAATTTGTAAGAATATGAGTCATTCATCAATTGATAAATGGTCAAAGGATATGAAGGACAGTTTTCAGAAGAAGAAATCAAAACTGTCTATATTCTTGTGAATAATGCTCCAAATCACTGTTGATTAGAGAAATGCAAATTAAAACATCTCTTAAGTACCACTTTACAAGTATCAGGTTAGCTAATATGACAAAGATTTGAGAGGATGTAAAAAAATTAAGACAGTAATACAATGTTGCTGGAGTTGTGAATTTGTCCAACCCTTCTGGAGAGCAATTTGGAAATCCACACAAAGGGTTATAAAACTTTACATAGCCTTTGACTCAGCAATACCACTACTAGATCTGTGTCTCAAAGAGATGAAAAACAAAAAGAAAAGGACCTATCTGTACAAACATATTTATAGCAGCTCTTTGTGTGATAGCAAAGAATTGAAAATTGAGGGGATGCCCATCAATTGGGGAATGGTGAACAAGTTGTGATATATGATGGTGATGACATGCTATTGTGCTATGAGAAATAATGAGCAGGATGGTTTCAGAAAAACCTGGGAACACTTATATGAACTGATGCAAAATGAAGCAAGCAGAACTAGAAGAACATTGTACATAGTAATAGCAATATTATACTATGATCAACTGTGAATGACTTAGCTATTCTTTGTTTTTTTTTTTTGTTTGTTTGTTTTTAGTGAGGTAATTGGGGTTAAGTGACTTGCCCAAGGTCACACAGCTACTCCGTGTCAAGTGTTGGGTCCGAGGCCAGATTTGAACTCAGGTCCTCCTGACTTCAGGGTCAATGCTCTATCCACTGCGCCACCTAGCTGCCCCGTAGCTATTCTGATCAATACAATTATCTAAGACAATTCTGAAGGATTTATGATGAAAAATGCTATCCACCTGCAGAGAAAGAACTAATGGAGTTTGAATGCAGATCAGTGTACAGTTATCCCTTCCACATCATGACTTTCCCCACTGCAGTTTTAATAGATTATGGGTTGGCATAAGAAATTAAATGGGAATTTTGGGGAGCTTTACGGAAGCTGCAGTCAACATGTAAAGGCCAACAGATGATACAGAAATGGTTTAGAAACTCAGAAATGCAGGATTGTTATTTTAAAAAGGCATTTCAATAAACTCTGGCATCGTACGAGAAAAGGCTAAGTTCTTATATGATTTCCTAAAGGAAAAGGAAGGTGAAGGGTCTTGTCCTATGGATTTTACACAGGTTTTCCAAATCATGGGAGTACCATGCCATTTACCCCTGCAATGTGTTAGGGATAACTGTATAACTGTATACTTTTTTTTAAACTTTCTTCTTCTTTTTGATCTGTGTTTTCTTTTGCATTATGGTTAATATGGAAATATGTTTTGCATGACTTCCCATGTATAATCTATATCACATTGCTTGCCTTTTCATGGAGGGGGAGGAGAGGGAGGTAGAGAGAGAATTTGGAACTCAAAAAATTAAAAATGAATGTTAAATTTTTACATATGGTTGAGAATATTTAATGATATGAATAAAAATATTTGGGGGAGAAAGAGAGTAACCTTGTATCAAATATACACATATATATGTATATTTGCATCAAGTAAAAAACTTATGGTACATGTAGTGGATACACACACTTCTGCTACATGTACCAATACTTAAAAATTACATATATGTATACATATATTTATATACATATATATGCATATATATGTATATATGTATATGGAGAGAGAGACAGAGACAGAGATAGAGCGACAGAGAGACAGAGACAGACAGAGAGACAGAGACCTGGTCATATCAGCCCTTAAACAAACTCATTTATGTGGCACATTGAGGATGGATTGGAGTTGGGATAGAATTGATGAAGGGCCTGAATGAGTGGTGTCTATGTGAGTAGAGAGAAGGGGTCAGAGAAAAGAGATGTTATCATTGTGGATATGACAAAATTTGATGACTGATTTTCTCTGTGTTGTGTGACAGACAGGGAGGAATTGAGGACAATGCCAAGGTTATGGACCTAGTGCCAGAGAAGAGACTTACCTAGAAAAAAAGAAAGGTGGTCAGCAGTGTGAAGTACTGAAAAGATATCCAGAAGGAGGATTTCAAAATGTTTTCAAAAATCAGATTTGGCAATTAAGGAATGATTCATAATGATAATTAGGCAAATTTCCCAATTGACAAAATGATAAAAAGGAAAATGACAAATGTTTCCTTTGCATTCTCTTAGAACATATAGCATAACCAACACTTTAAAAATATGAAGAATTATAAATTGACTAAGATCACTAACCACTGCACATTACATACCTGTTTCTCTACAATTAATCAATAAGCATTAATGAAGACCTACTATGTGCCAGACACCATACTAGGCAATGGGAATAAAAGTTTCTGGAATGGACAGATTAATTTTTAATTGAAAATTTTCTTTTCTTTTCTAGGTAATTCCAAATGTGGCTTCTTGAGTAAAGAGGAATTTATTGAGCTCAAAGACTTATTCTCTGTGAAATTGAAATGGCGTCGATCTGCCAAACAGCAGAAAGGTGGTACTTTGTTAGGTATCACACTTTTTGTATGTATGAAAAAGGAACAAAATAAACTGAAGGATTATACTCTTACTCTTAATAACTTAAGTGAAGACCACTGTTTCTCATGGGTTAGAGATCTGAAGAAAATTTTAACTGGTAAGTACTGTATTGTAGAAATATGTTATTAGAATATTAGTCAAGCCTGAATGAGCAGTCTTATCTGTTCAACTCATGATTGTCCACTCCAATGTGAAAGAACCCATGGAAAGGTATCTGAAAAGGAGCATTGAGGGGGCAGCTAAGTGGCGCAGTGGATAGAGCACCGGCCCTGAAGTCAGGAGGACCTGAGTTCAAATCCGGCCTCAGACCAAACACTTGATACTTACTAGCTGTGTGACCCTGGGCAGGTCACTTAACCCCAATTACCAAAAAAAAAAAAAAGAAAGGAGAATTGAGGACAAAACAAGGATGTCGAATTTTTTTTTAAAAAAAACCTTATTTCAGTGAGATTCAAGAAGTTAGAGGACTGTTGCTTGGGTAGGTAGAAAATCATAACTGACAATAGAGAGAAGAGGGAGTTGCACAATTCTTTCTTTTCTTTTTCTTCTTTTTCTGTTTTCTCTGCCAAAAAAAGATGGTCTTGCTCAGAAAGTGATAGAATGAAAATGGGTAATGGAGTTGCCAAACAAGGTAAGTCAAGAGATTTAAGAGCACCTAATTGGAACTGATCTGTTTAAATACCAATCGAGCAACATCCTCTGGTACTGGAAAAAAAGGGGGGAGATGTGCTTAGTTACTACATCATTTTAGTGATACTTGAAAGATTGTTGAAAAATGGGGAAATTGCAGGACTGGATAAAATATCATTTTGATTTTTTTAAAAGAGATTCTCCAAACTATAGGCTTAACTTGGGTTACTGATAGGATTCTAGAATGACTCATTAAAAAGATAGTATGCATCCAGAAAAGGTAGTATTGATCACAGAGGATCAACATGGGTTTCTTGAGAACAGATCATGCCAGACTAGCTGTTTTTCATCTTTTTCTCAGGGTTACTAAACTGTTAAATTGGAAGAAGGCTGTAGAAAAAAAACTCACCTAAATTTTAACAAATAATTTGAGAAAGTATTTCATACTATTCTGTTGAAAAAGATGAAGAGGTAGGCTGGATTACAATAGAAAAAGATCAATTTAGAGCAAGTTGAATGGCTCAGACTAGTTGTTACTGATTCAGTGTCATTTTTGCAGGAGGTCTCCCCTGGAGTGCCCCAGGAATCTGTGGTTGGCCCTGTGCTATTTCACATTTTTATCAGTGATGGATAAAGACATAGCCGGCATGCTCATTAAATCTGAAGATGATCCTGAGGTGGGGATGAATAGCAAGCACATGGGGTGACAGACTTAATAGGTTATGTTGGGCTAAATTTAATGAGATGCTATTCAAGAGGGGCAAGGATAAAGTTTTACATTTGAGTTTAAAATAAACTTCCCAAATACAAGTTAGGGGAAGGATGGCTGGAGAGCAGTTTGTCTGTAAAAGATCTAAGAGTTTTAGTGGATTGCAAGCTCAGTAGTCATGTGTTATGAAAGCTAAGAAGGCAAATGTTATCTTGGACTGAAATATAGTTTGTAGGATCAAGGAGGTCCTACTGTTCTTCATCTTGGTCAGGTCACAGCTAGCATATTATGCGTTGCTCTAAGCAGTATTGTTTAAGAAGGACTTTGATAAATGGAGAATATCTAGAAGACAAGAACTAGGACAGTGAAGGATCTTTTATTTGTGACACATGCAGATCAGCTGAAGGAACTGAGAATGGATAAGGGGGGAGAGACATGATATCTGTATTCTAGAATTTAAAAGGCTGGCACATGGAAGAAGGGTTAGACTTGTTTTTTGTTTGGCCCCAGAAGGCAGAACCAAGATCAGTAGGGAAGAAATTGAAAAGATGAATATTTAGGCTCTTTTTCAGGAAAAATTCTAACAATTAGCGGTATCCAAAAGTAAAATGGGCTGTCTCAGAAAGCTGTGAGTCTTCAATCAGAAACTAGATGATCGCTGGTCAGAAATGCTGTAGTGGAGATTGTGTTGGTGTATTTGGAGGCTGAAATGCCTTCCAACTTTAAACATTTTGTGATTCTCTGATATTGTTTGAATCATGTTTACTTGCTCAAGCCAATATTAAAGGAAATTATTCCCTGGAGTTACCAGGTAGCTGGCATGTGTGCTAGATAATAGTATGATAATTTCCTAATATTAATTATTTTCTGAGCATAAATCATAAAAATGATAATCTAGGTGCTGATCATTGAGAGTAGATTGTGGCCCCAAATTGATCAAAGAAAAATGAAAAGGATCCATATATACAAAAAAGTATGTTTAACAGTGCTTTTGTGAGAACAAAGAGTTGGAAACTAAAGGGGCTCAACAAATTATGGTATATGAATATAATATAATGTTATTAAAGACATTAAAAAGAACAAATGAGATGGATTCTGAGAAAACCAGGAAGAATTATGTGAATTGATTCAGAATTAAATGAGTAGAACCAGTAAAACAATTTGTAAATAATTATAACATAAATAAAAACAATTTTGAAAGACTTAAGGACTAATTATTGTGACCAACCAACTTTCCAGAGGACCAGTGTGGAAGCATGGTACCCATCATCTGACAGAGAGGTCAGGAACTTGAGGTACAGATTGAGGTAAATTTTTAGGACAAAGCTAATGCATCGATTTGTTTTACGTGGGTATCTGTATGTTACAAGGTTTTATAATTTTTATAGGAGGACTATTGATGTTTCTTCCCTTCCTGAAAAAAAAAAGAAAAGGGCCATTGTAGTATTTCTTTTTCAATGTATGGAAAAGAACAAGGTTTAGGAGCTACAGAAAAGTAAGGCAGCTTTGAGAGTAACATGTTGAATTTTTTTAAATGCAAGCTCTGCATAAAGAGATTTGTGGGTTTATAAACAAACCTCTTCAGTTCATCTGTGTATACGGAAATGCTCATATCTGCTGGTATTTGTCTAGGACTCAATAACAAAACTATTTAAAAAATAAAAATGAAGAGAGTAGTATTTTAAAAATGCCTATTCCTTGAGAAATGTAATATTAATTGGTGCAGAAAATAATTATTTCATTGACACATGCTGTCAAAATAACTGAATTTCATGAAATTTTCAAATAAAAATTTCTTTAGTAGTTTAAAGTGTTTAAGCAATAGAAATTACTACTATATAGTGTAAACATCTAAAAAGGTAATTTAATTAACTGGAAGCTAAATCAAGACTATTTTTCATCTCTAGATTTGGGGATTGATTTTTCATAGAACCACATATCTCCCTTGCTTTGATTTAAGCTTATTTCCTCTTGTTAGCTTGTAGCAGACACAAAGAAAAATTGATGTGCATCCTTCTCATAAAAAATCTTTTCATATACTTTGATGACAATAATCAAACAACTCTGTATACTTTTCTTCTTTGGGCTAAATAACCACAGTTATTCTAACTTCAATTCCTGAGATGTTTTCCAACCATTTAATGCTCTTTGTAATTCTGTTATGAATCCTTTGTAGTTCCGTTTTAATTGTCCTATGACAAGCTCTGGTTTAAATTGTATAAAAAGATCTAATGAGTATAGTGTGTAACAGAAGTATTATTCTCTAGCCCTTTAAATACTGTGACCTTCTGTTGCTGGAAGATGGGGTTAAAAAATTCAGGGTAAGTCATATAGAGCTTTGAAATTCCTTTTAGACACTGTACTTGAACCTCAAGTAGCTACCATCAGTTAAACTAGTGCCTAATTAGTGTAGCACAGGTGTGAAGATTAAACTTATTTTTGTTGTTATTCCCTCATTTCAGTCCTGTCTCTCTTCATGATCCCATTTAGGATTTTCTTGGCAAAGATTCTGAAGTGGTTTGCCATTTTCTTCTCCAGTTCATTTTACAGATGAGGAAACTGAGGCAAACAGGATTAAGTGACTTGCCCAGGGTCACCCAGCTAGTTAAGTGTCTGAGGCCAGATTTGAACTCAGGTTTCCCTGACTCTAGGCCTGGCACTTTACCTACTAGGCCACCTAGCTGCTCAAGACTTATGACTAAAAGGATTGATAGAGATTCTACTTAATACATTCAGTCATATTTTTATTTTTATGTATTTCAAAAGACAACAGCATTTTCATTCAAAATGTACTTATTAAATGCCATTGCCTAGTATGTACCAAATACTAGGAATACTAAGATAAAACAGTATTTCCCTTTATAATGCTTACTTTCCATTGTGAGGAAATAATATAAAAACAGATAAATAAATGCAAAAGTATATAAAGTCAAGGAGTTTCTGGAAAGAGGGGAAGGCACCAGCAATTGGGCATATGGTAGGATCAAGAATAGTCCATGAGTAGAGTCCATACTTGGGCTTCCCCTTGAAGAAAAGAAGGATTCTACTTGCCAGGAGGGAAGGGTGCAGTGCATAGATGGTGGATAGCTTGTCCGTGCAAAGGCAAGGAGACAGGAGATAGAAATGTCATGAAAGGGATACAGCAAGCTGTACAGTTTGACCAAAACACAGACTACATAAAGGAGAAAAGTATGCTTTTTCTACCTAGATGTCTTACCTACATCTCTACATCTCGTCCATAAGAAAAGGATTACCACAGAACTTCTCCACCCCATCCCAAACCCAAGTCAGTGAAGATTATGCAGCATTTCAAAGGGATAAAATTAAGGTAAATTTTAAAACCTTCCTGTGAAAGAAAAAACAAAGTCTCAGAGGTAAGAAATCTCCTGAAGGATGAAAAGTGAAAGTGAAAATCTTAGGTTCATGATAAAAGCTTTATTGGTTTAAAAAAGCCTTAGCAAAAGATCCCCATAGGGATAAAAAGTGAAAGTGTAATGTAAAGTGAAAAATTTTTGAGCTGAGGGGTAAAAAACCAAATAACCTCATCATGAAAGGGGGAAAATATACCTTGATGTGAAGAAAAGCAGCCTCAGCCCAGGCCACTTGTTGCTTTGGGCCTTAACTGGTTGTGGAAGAAAAGGATCTCAACATAGTAAAGTAAATAAAAAGTCATTTCTCAACCTTCCTTCTCAAGGAAAAGCCTTCAGCCAGGTCTGCTTCAATGGAGGGAATGAAGGGAGCAACCAAAGAAATAACAG